AAAACTACAGCTCACACTCAAGACTCTGTTCAAAACTACAGCTCACACTCAAGACTCTGTTTTAAAACTACAGCTCACACTCAAGACTCTGTTCAAAACTACAGCTCACACTCAAGACTCTGTTCAAAACTACAGCTCACACTCAAGACTCTGTTCAAAACTACAGCTCACACTCAAGAACTCAACAGCTATGCATACCCCACAACTATTTGACGAAAGCTTTGCTACAGACTAATGTTAAGGAACAACAAAAAATTCAAACAAACATTTTCAATACTGAACAAATATGCACGATGATTTTTTGTTTTTAAAAGTCCCTTTATTGGATAAATAAAAGTATCTTAAACACAATTTACGAGTTTGTTCCCTCCGCCCCATGTACACACTTCCCATAACCCCCCCCCCGGCCCCCAAACTTCCCATTTATTACTTCATAGCATAGGGATGACCACTGACTGTATGCCTAAAGGATTTAACAAATTTAGAAATAGCAATTGACAAAGAGAAAATTTTATTTTTCGGGAATATGATGGGTGGGCTCCCAAAGTTGAATAGTTCATAATAAGATATATTGCTATTAGTTAATAGTCAAATATTTAAATGTAAAAACCAAAGTTTCATAAACATTTCCAATATCTCAGATGTTTTCTGTCATGACTTCTGCTCACCCGCATTGCCATCAGGGAGGGTTACGCCAATATTGTGCTCAGACTTTTAAGGGCTTTTCGTGGGTTTTTTTCTTTTCTTTTCCTTTTTTCTTTCATTAACAAAAAGGCTGTGAAAATTGTATTATATTAAAACCATTTTTGAAAAAAAAATGTTATGACGTGATATTTGTGTTAGGCTTGGCACACAGAATCGAGTTTAGATTCTTTTTTAACGTGTCACCAACTTGGAATTAGTATGCGTTTCGTTAATTTTGTTGTTGCAGTTTCTATTAACCGTATGTCTCTTTTCTAGTTTTAATTCTAGAATCTAGAAGAGTGACGTGCATTAAATTTAAATTGTAATTCTCGTGATTTAAAAGAAAATAATTATGTCTAACCGTGTATTAAGAGTAACTATCATTTGAATATATATATATAATATATATATATATAATATATATATATATATATATATATATATATATATATATACTGTCTC